ATTTGTTAGTATTCAGGCATCTGTACTGGCCTGCCCTTGGGGTGCTGACAGGATATGCCCTCAGCTGCAGCCACTAAGAAGAGCACCTCCTGTGCACATTCACTATGTTCCCTTGTAAAAGGTGGGCCTTGCCTACCTCCCATCTTCCTCTCTCTCTCTCTCTCTCTTTCTCTCTCTCTCTCTCTCTCCTACTATTGTCCCCAAGGACCAGTCTCTGCCCCCTCTCTGCCCATACTCCATTATATGGTGCTATCTCTCTAAGAATGTCCATTTTTTGTTAATATAGCTAGATATGTAGACAGGGCAATATATACTCCACTATTTTTCATGGGAAATGACAAGCAATGCCTAAATGCCTATATGTCACTACTCACTATTATATTTATTTATTTACTCACAAAACACTAATATAACTTATTTGCATATAAGGCTCTATAGAAATAAATCAACCTTCAAACTAGGAAGGTTCATGGTTCTAGGAGAAATAAGTAATTCATAAGACAATGTAAAGATTTTGTAATATATATATATATGTATATATATATATATATGATTCTAAAGAAACACAAAAAACAGATACTGTACCTAAATCAGATTAGAACACCAAGCAAGTTACATCAGGTCAGGAGAGAATATTAAATTGTTCCCTTTATGAGCTGGACATAGGCTGGGGGCTCTACTCTGCAGTGGTTGGTAAAGGATTCTAAGATGTAGGATGTAAACTTGCCCCAAAACCATACACTGGGTAGCTTCTGGGGAGATCATACCCTGAAACCAAAAGACTATTGCAAACTCCCTGAATATTTGGAATAAGACCCCCCACTCCAGGCTGACTACTCTGAGAAATCACCAGTGATCATCTGGGCTTCCTACAGGCCAATGTGGCCAGCTTGGTGATGATTTTGAAAAGATGTTAAATGCCCTGAAGATACTTGTGCCTGGAGATAAATATACTGCCGTGGTGGACACAGAAGAAAAGGAGGATGGGCAGAGCTATATCAAGTTCAGTGTGAATTGAAGGCCATAATCCAGGAATATGATAAGCAGCTTGAAAAAGTGAAGATGATAATTCCTTCTAAACAGATGGCCATAAATCTTCTCAGAAATCAAGTTTGACAAGAAGTATCCCTATTGGCCTCACCAGCAGGAGACAGGAATGGCCAGTAAAGCCTTTTACACATATGTGTCAGAACCTCAATACCCCAGGTCTAACATCTCTACAGAAGCAGTGACCTTACTTAAGGGCTATTATAAAAAACAGAAACTTCCAGCCCTGGGGAACAGGAACCACCATTTAGCTGAGCATGGTGGCAACACTTCTGTAATCTCAGCACTGGGAAGGTGGGGGCAAGTAGATTAGAAGTTCAAGATCATCCTCAAAATTGAGGTCAGTTTATACCACATTAGACACTCAAAAAAATAAAAGGTATGTCTGATTATGTACTAGAAGTTTTTTTTTGAAGTTTTTTATTGGTGTATATCAATATACATGGGTTTCACTATGACATCTTCATATAGGTATATGGTGTTTTTGAACATAGTCATTCCCATTACCATCTCTTATCCCCCTTTGGGCCCCTTCCCTTTCCCATCCTTCTTCCCTCCCTAATCCCCCTTCAATATTTATGTCTCTTAAGGAAGTGAACCAGTGAGCTTACTAACAATTATATACAGGAGCATGACAACATACCAGCGACTACACCACCAAAGAAAATGTTTCTCTACCTTACCCAGCCACCATTAACTGCTTATAGATCCTCAGGGAGGAGGCAGGACCTTCTGTGCCCTGTTTAGAAGTTTATTTTATTTATTTGGGTTTTTGTTGTTGGGTTTGTTTTGTTTTGTTTTTGAGACAGAGTTTCTCTGAGTATCCCTGACTGTCCTAGAATTCAACTCTTTAGAACAGGCTGACTTCAAACTCAGAGATCTGCCTGCCTCTGACTCCCAAGTTCTGGGATTAAAATTGTACACCACCACACCAGACTAGAAGTTTATTTTCAAACATGAACTAATGCAATAATATTTTGAACTACTTTCCAGAAGAAAGTATTAGTGTCTCTTCTCTCCCTCCTTGATAAGTATAGGTAAGATAGATGATGATAGGCAGACAGACAAGAGAAATGCATACATACTCACATGCAAAGATATAAATATACAGATGTTTGTGTATATGTGCTTGTACACATGCATATCTTCATCCTTTTTATCAGTTAGTACTATTACAAAAATAAGTATAAAACTGGAGAAAGGGTTTTTTTTGTTTGTTTGTTTGTCTTAAGACAGGTACTCTTTACATAGTCCTGGCTGTCCTGGAACTCACTATGTAGACTAGACTGGCCTCAAAGTCACAAAGATCCAGATCCACCAGCCTCTACCTGCAAAGTGTTGGTATTAAAGGTGTGCACAATCACCATCTATCTGGCTTTGGATACATTTCCTTAAGGTTTTAAAAATCATACTGTGTTGGAAAGGGGTGTTACCCAGCCTCATGCAGGGGGTTATAAACACACAAAAAGTCACTATCTCTTTTACACGGGCATTTCCCAGAGATTAAATTTCCTCACATGACCAAACTAAATAGATCATCTGGTATAGTCCCTTCATACATGTCTCAACTGTGTTTGCTGTAAATCTTGCTACTTGACCACACACACACACACACACACACACACACACACACACACACACCACCCAAAATCCTACAATGAAATCTTAAGCACTCTTTCATCACTCTCTTCATTTAAATATCTTTAAAATAGATATATGATATTGGAGATGCAATGGAAATGATACTTGAAGGAAGCCCTTACTCCTTTGAGGCCAATACCACCTGGCTATACTATCTTTTACCTTTCATCTCTAGCACTGACCTACTCCTGGTCATTAAACCCACAGATCCCCTCTGCACTTCAAAGTCAGACTTTACATCCAAGTACATAACCAAGGAGCTAGGAGTGTAGTGACAAACAGCTTAACCAACATGCTTGAAGCCCTGGGTTCAACCCTCAGCAGAGCAAAAAGGTTTCATTTGCCAGTCAAGATAATCACACTAAATAACAATTCAGTCAATTTCCTGATCTCTTCAATGACCATGACCTTCATTTCCACTCATTTTTAGCTATTTCCATTATTACATCTTAGAATTTATTCTGGAAACTTTAAAACAGTGTTTCTCAACCTTCCTAACACTACAACCCTTTATATAGTTCTTCATATTATGGTGACTCACAATCCTAAAATTATTTCATTGCTATAGCATAACTATAATTTTGCTACTGTTATGAATTGTGATGTAAGTATCTGATATGCAGTCCCTGTGAAAGGGTCATTTAACTGAAAAGAGTCACGAGAACCACTGCTTTAAACTTAAATCCCTCACTCTAACCGAAAAAGATACACACCAACATATTAACAGTTCTTCCTTGTTAAGGAAAATTATATATACTCTAAATATTATATGTGTACTATAAATATTTGACTTAATACTTATATTTTAGTTAGAGAAACAGTTTTGCAATAGGAAAAAAAAAGAGAAACTTTTTACCTAATTCTTTCAAGTGTTATAACCTCTATGTCTAGAGTTTATCTGATCTAAATTCAAATCTACTTTTCAATATCATCAAGACCTCTAGACCTGAACCCCTTCTGGTTGGGTTAGGTGTCCTTCCCCTGTGTTAGGACAGCACTCAGTGCTTACCTTATTATGACATATATCACAATGTTTTGTAATTTTTGTTGGCATGTGGGTTTTTCCTTTATATTCCAAGTTCCTTAAGATCAAATAACACACCCAGAATGTATAACCGTAAAACCTAATTTGAACAGGCACTGGCTTCTAAGTAAATAAATATTGAACTTGCATTGACCTATATGAATCAGACAGTTTAGGTTATAATTCTTCCAGTTTCATACGACACTAGGAAAGTCAATTCTTTGAATGTCAATTTTGTCATCTGTAAAAGGGGTTGATTGGTAATCCTTTCACAGAGGTGTCAAGGGCTTAAATATTTGTAAATGTTGGTCACGAGATATTATTTGCTCAAACTGGCGGAATCACATGCTCTCACTTAGCATTGCTTTCCTTGGTTCACTGGAATCACCTTTTTATTGCTACTTGACATGAGCAACTTCAGAGCTGACTGACCATTAATTGCTCCAGATTGTTTACTTTTCATTTTCATAAAGAAGATAAGGCACAGTCAGGGTATCCTGATGTTGTGCCTGTTCCTTCCAGAAGGAATATGCAGTTATTCAAACATGGAAAGATTCTTCCCAGTGCTTCCTGGAAGATTTTGTTTTTTGTTTGTTTGTTTGGGACCAGTTCTGATATAGTTCAAGACAGCCTAGAACTTGCTATGTTGCTGGAGATGTTTTTGAACTCATCTCTTCCTGTCTCCACCTTTCAAGGCTCTAACAGCCAAGGTATTTTTAAACATAGCACCTTAAAGAGTTAGTAAAGGTATTTTTTCACAGGCAAATAAGAGAAATCTTTCCTTTTACACACATTGAGGAAAGGCCATGTAAAGACTGAGTGACAAGATAATCTGAAAGCCAGAAAGAGGCCTCACCAGAAAGCAATCCTGAAGGTACCCCATCCCCACCATCCTGTCTCCAGACCTCAGTTGATCCCGGTGCCTTAGTCTCCAATGCACAGGAATTACAGACACAAACATCACACCTGACACAGATGGCATCTTGGTCTTTGACTTTCACCCTCCAGAACTGTGAGATAATAGATCTTTGTTGCTTAAGCCATCTAGCCAATGGTGTTTTGTAAGGAAGCTCAGACTAATGAAACTCCCAAGGTCAAATAAATATCCACCTCTCAGTAGGACACAGACATCTGCACTTTGGAAGCTCCTAGGTTATCTAATGTCTGCACAACACCTTTATTTTACTTTACCTTCAAAGTATAATGAAACCGGCCTTCTTTCTTATAATTGTAATTGTGTAAAAATAAGTCAAATGGTCAGAATGCATAGAACCACAACAAAACTTACCTTAAAAATCATCTGGAAGGATGCTACATTTGATGTGTCATGAGAACAGTCACCTTCCTCTGAAGCCCAAGTCAGCTTTGCAGAGAATCTGGGCAGCACAGGTTGTATTTCTATATGAGAAGAAATGTGAACAAATCAGAACATCAGTTTGGATAAGCAACAGAATCTGTGGCATATTTATTAAACTGATAAGTCAAGAAAGCCTTCCCCTGATGAAATATTACCTGCAAAACATAAAATATGGAAACTGGTCCCACATCAGTAAATTGCTTCAAATTTAGAATTACTTTCTGGAGAAAAGATACATAATCTCATATTTTTAATTTTTTAGATTTGTTAAACCAACCTGAAATTTTAATTTCTACAAAGTCATGTCCAGTGACAGACATTCTAGCTGACTGTCCTGCATTTTTCAACAAATCAGATCATTAATAAACACAAGTCCATTAAAGGAACTAATTTAGAGCTGAAAACTGAAAAATTCAAGAATGATTGTTTCAGACAAGTGATTTTTTTTTGAGATCTCACAAGACTCTTTAATAATTGCCATATTTTATCCCTCAAGAACCCTGGGAAACTGTTTTCCCAGCTCCCCAAATATTGTTCTTCTCAAATTGCCCTTTTGTATTCTTTTTTGTTTGCTTATTTTTTATTTAATTTATTATTTTACATGCCAATCCCAGTTCCCTCCCTCCCTGCCTCCCTCCCTCCCTCACTTTTACCCTCTCTGCCCTCTCACATGTACCCTAACCACCCTCCCCTCCCCTACCCCCCCAATTCCATATGTAGGGCAATGCCATCCAGTTGGGGTCATGTAGATCTGACAGGTCATTTGAAGTAGGGACTAGGGCTTCTCTCCTCAGACAAGTGTTTTTTAAAATTTTGGCACACACCTTTAATCCCAATATTGGGCAAGCAGAGGAAGACAGATCTTTATGAGTTCGAGGCCAGCCTGGTCTACAAAGCTACACAGAGAAATCCTGTCTCGAAAAATAAAGTAAATAAATAATAAAATGACAAAATAAATAAATAAATAAAATTTTTGTAGTCTTTAACAAACCCAAGTTCTCACCAATTTTAAGAATTAATTACTTGATGTTCTGTATGTGTTGACTCAGAGCTAGCTTTCCAAAGAGCACCTATGAGTAGTGGATTATCCACCACAAAAAGAACATCAATGTATGTACCATCTTTCTTCTCCATTTCCTGTACCAGAATTATAAAAAACAAAAAAGAACAAACAAACAAAAAACCCTCCCATTTTATAAAAAACCCCTACTTCTTAGTGCAGGAACAGTAAAGAATTAAAGCCACACTAACAAGTTGATCCAACTTTAATAAAAGTCTAATAGCAATAAAACAACCCTTGAAATAATGGTACAGTATTCATACTCAAATCTATTAGTGTTTTAACTATTAAAAAAAGTGTAGGCTTTTACCAAGATAAAAATCTAGACATCCATCTTCATGAATAACATTTTTCTTGTCATTGTGTTCTTTAAATCTAGTTCAGTCACAAAGCACTGGATAAAATGGCATCAAGGTTATGCTACACTGGAGCCTAGTGACCTTGCTACTGAACCCAGATACTTTGCGTCAGTCTTCAGTTTACCATTGACTACCTGACTTCAGAGAAACTTCCCTTTTCTGATTCAATTATTTTTCTGTGAAATAGGGATCAACTGTTCCTAAATCCTATGTCTCTTTAACTTAGTAAGACAGTATAGAGATAGGGAAATGTTAATGCAGGAGAAAAAGGGTTGTTAAATATCTTCAACTTCTTTAGAATAATCTTAATAACAATTTAAAATAAATTGCTTAAAAAATAAACAAAAATAGACGAGAGCTGCCATAAAAGAGGGAGCCATTATAGGTTTGAAGAGAAAACTGACTCTAGAGAAATGTCCAGAGACCTACAAGGATGACCCCAACTAACAATCTGAGCAACAGTGGAAAGGCTACCTTAAATGCCCTTCCCTGATAATGAGATTGATGACTAACTTATCTACCACCCTAGAGCCCTCATCTAGTAGTTGATTTGGAAACAGAAGCAGATACCCATAGTTAAACATTGAGCCGAACTGGAATCCAGATGTAGAGAGGAAGGAGTGATAAGAAGATGAGGACAAGACCAGGCTACAGAAACCCAGAGAGACAGCTGACCTGAACAAGAGGGAGCTCATGGACCCCCAGACTGATAGCTGGGAAACCAGCATTGGACCGACTCAGACCCCCTGAACATGGATCTCAGTTAGAACACCTGGGCAGTCTAAGGGACCTCTGACAGTGGAACCAGGATGTATTCCTGGTGCACAAAAGGACTTTGGGAGCACATTCCCCATGGAGGGATAATCCCTTAACCTAGAGGCAGGAGGGAGGGCCTAGTCCTTACTCCAAATGACTTGACAGATTTTGTTGATCCTTCCTGGAAGGCATCACCCTCCCTATGATAGAGTGGGGGGGGTGGGATGGGAGGGTAGGGAGGCATGGAAGGGAGGGAGGGAAGAAGGAAGGAAGAGAGGGAAGGAAGGAGGGAGGGAGAGGGAACTGGGATCAATATGTAAAATAAGGAAAAAAAATTCTTAGTAAAGGAAATAAAGTTTTTCTTTTAACCTGGAAAAAAAATAAACAAAAAATAATTGTGCACTTTAAAAAAGCCTACTCCAACCATTTTATTCTATATAATAAAAATAAACAAGCAAACAAACAAGATATAAAAAGGTAAAAGAACCAGAAGCAAATTATTTCAAGATAAATTGAGCCTACATTGAAGTTTCATGTGCCTGTTCAAACATATCAACAAATAGTTTTAAATTTAATAAAGACACAGTCGTCGTGGGGGAGAAAAGGAAAAAGAAAATGTAATAGACCAGAAATGGAAAGAAAAAAAAAAAAAAAAAAAAAAAAGAGGGCTACTTGCTGCTAAGGCTGACAACCTAAGTTCAATCCTCAGGTCCCACATGGTGGAAAAACAGAGCTGACTCCTACGAGTTGTCCTCTGACCCCCACACCTGTACCTACTCACTTGAGGGATGGCTAGAGCAAAAGAAAGCTGGTAGCTCCATCACTGGTGTGTGGCAAAGGCCTTAGCTGTGTGATGTGAGCAGTCCCAGGACTCAGAACTACACAGTTCATTACATCCAGGATCCTTGCATCTCATTACCCAGGTAAAGTAAAAATCTAAGATATACACCATACAAGACTAGGGCTCAGCAACCCTGAGAAATTTTGACCTACCCTTTGTCAACGTGGGATGTATTCAAACAAACAGATATGGACGATTAACTCTAAATTACCAAGTAACGAAGCTTGATACCATCTATAACACAGCATACAACAGTTGTACCTGAGGAGTTAGTAATGAGACATTTTAAAATGCATATCTATACCTTTAACAAAGAAAAAGAGGTCCCTTAGACTGCCCAGGCCTTGTCACCTGATTTACTTATATTCTCAGTAATTATCTAATTCATTATCTAATCATATACTCAATCATTGTCTAATCATAAATATTATCTGATTCCAGTATTTTTAGCACCTAAAAAAACCCAGCATGCTGGGTGGTGGTGGTGCATGCCTTTAATCCCAGCACTCAGGAAGCAGAGGCAGGTGGATCTCTGAGTATTTATTTGAGGCCAGCCTGGTCTACAGAGTGACCAGGCTCACTGTAATACATTAAACTAAAAGTAGCTGGGTGATGGTGGCACACAACTTTAATCCCAGCACTTAGGAGGCAGAGACAGGTGGATCTCAATGAGTTTGAGGTCAGCTTGGTCTACAAAGTGAGTTCCAGGACAGCCAGGACCATTACACACAGAGAAACCCTGTCTCAAAAAGAAAAAAAAAAGTAATAGGGGAAACTGTATTAAAAATCTTGGACTTTAAAGATATGATGTTTGAAATTAAGACCATATTAATAGGGTCTGGAGAGATATCTAAGTGGCTAAGAACATTTACTGCTCTTGCAGAAGACCCAGGTTTGATTCCCAGAACCCACAAGGTGATTCACAACATTCACTCGAGTTCCAGAGAGTCTAGCATCCTCTACAGGCATCAAGCACTCACGAGATATATACATTCATGCAGACAAAACACTCACAGATAAAATAAAATGAATAAATAATAAATAAAAATAAATCTTTTAAAAAACTTATAAATGGTTTGACTGAATGAAAATAAACCAAAAACTAGTTAGGATATGTTTTTAGCGTATTATTCATAATAACTCAAAATGGAAACAACTCAAATGTCTACAAAATGATGAGTATTGGCTTAACGAAATGTAAAATATCACTTCAACTATAAAAATAAAGTATACACTGTGTACATCAACTTCACATACAAACTAGCGTTATATGAAAGGAGAGAACATTAATTGAGAAAATGCCTCCATAATATCCAGCTATAAGGGTTGGAGAGATGGTTCAGTGATTTAGAGCACTGGCTGCTCTTCCAGAGGACCTGGATTCAATTCCCAGCACCCACATGGCAGCTCACGATTGTCTGTAACTCCAGTTCTAAGGGATCTGGCACCCTCACACAGACATGCATACAGGCAAAAGCACAAATACACACAAAATTAGAATAAATAAATCTTTTTAAAAAGGATTCAGCTATAAGGCATTTTTTAATTAGTTATTGATGGGGGGTGACCCACTCTATTGTGGGTGATGCCATCCCTGGGTTGTGGCCCTGGGTTTTATAATAAGCAGGCTGAACAAACCACACAGCACAAGTCAGTAAGCAGCCTCCCACCATGGCCTCCACATCAACTCCTGCCTCCAGGTTCCTGCCCTGTTTGAGTTCCTGTCCTAACTTCCTTCAATCTGTTTGAATTCCTGTCCTAACTTCCTTCAATAATGAATGGCAATATGGAAGTGTAAATCAAATAAACCCTTTCCTCCCCAGCTTGCTTTCTGGTCATGGTGTTTCATTGCAGGGATAGAAACCCTAACTAAAACATAGGGAATATGACATAGAGAAATCTTGAAAAAACCAAGCTTAGGCAAAGCACCAGACACAGAAGGCTATGTATCATACAATTCCACAATGTCAAAAATAAGGAAATCAATAAAGGAAAAAAAAGAAAACCAGAGTAATGTTGCCAAGG